AAAAGGTCAAAATCCCCAATGAGGGTTTAATGGACTGTCAGAAAAAAGCATTGCTTCAGTAAAGTTCGAAAAGTAAAAATGAGTAATATTAATCATTTGGAGCGCTAAAACCCCTAGGGTTATACAGTGCCTGTGGGGGGGGTGGAAGGATTCAGGCTCAATTTAGGGGAAAAAATGGAGCACAATCCCAAATTTCCCTAGATCAAGAGCCCATCCCCAAATCAAGGAAAACCCCCCAATAGTAAAGGTATAACAAATTATTACTACCAATTTTATTTTTTTATAACAAAGGGGGAAGCACTAAAACCGTATGATTTACAGCATTCACCAAAATTGGCAAGGTAATGTGACGGTCCTCTCTGGCTGCTACGTTAGTTTTATCTACCAACACAAACACCAAAGTTCCATCAAATCAATTTAAACCCACATTAAAACCACGATAAAAAACAAAACTAACCAATAATTTTTAAGGAAATAAATATAAAGAGGAGTAACCACAGCATGTATTGTTTTTGTGGTAAAAGGGGCCCCCACCGTCCTGAATGTGTTAGTAAAAAACATAACAAAATTTTTATAAAAAAACCCCAGGGGGGAAAAAAGTCATTTGTATGGCTTTTTTTTGGTTATCCTAGGGGAATTTACACATGTTAAACTATATTGATAATTTAAAAAGTAAGTTTATTAAGGCATGGGGACACATAATTTCAATTATCGTACTAGTGTAAAATTAAAAAACCCCCCCAAAAAAAATCAAAAAGGCTTATTTCAATTGACTTTCGTGGACCGTACCTCATACACTTACTTCAAAGACCCGTGGAAAAAAGTCACTTTTACTTTTTTTTAAATATCATTTGTCCGACTTTTTTGGGGGGGGGTAATCTTAAGTATGCCCCTATTATTATAATTTTATATCGTACCTGTACCAAATAAAATATGTCAATGTATTATTCTCACAATATCCGCTCATTCGAGTATTTTTAAGTATGGGTTGTTAAAGCTTAACATGACCCCAAACGTTTTTGATCAAAGGGTTGTCCTGTATTAGTATCCTGTTTCCTTTCCCACAAAAGCTTTCCCACAATTCCCGCAAAATTGGGGTTTAAAGGTTTATCATATTTAAACCCATATAATTACTACATATTAAAGTGTGTGTCCATACATCTATGTTCCCTTAAGTCATTTTAAATATTTGTAATTTTGGGGCCCCTGGTCGGTGGCTAAAGTCCCCCTTCAACCCCGGAGGGCCGGGTTCGATTCCCGGGGGTGGAAATTCTGACACGTTTTTTCCCTTTCACCTGTTGTCCTGTTCCCTAAACAAATAGGTACCCGGGTGTTAGTCGACTGGGTGGGTCGCTCCTGGGGACAAGATTAAGGGCCCAATGGGAAAAAAGTTGACTCCTCGATGCGATGACTTTCTTGGTTATCCTGGGGGGGAACCCCCCGGGGGGGAAAAAAACGAACAAAAAATCTTATCTTTTCTTTTGTATTATAACTTAATTAAAACTTACTGGTCAGACATACCCGGGCCCAGGGCCGATGAACCCTACAACCGAAACGGCAGAGATGATTTCCCCACTTTCCAGAAGCCAGAATGTAGATCAACGCCCCTTGGAAGGTTCCCATGTTGGGGGGGGTCTTATTTTGGAATTGGGTCTGTGCTCCAGTTCCCCGAATTAACCCAATCCTTCCACATCCCCCCCCAGGGGGGCTGTTAATCCTCCGGTTTAGCGCTTTTTCCCCTTGATTATAATAATAAAAAAAAATAGATTTAACGCACTTAAATGATAAGACACATTGCAACACTTGTATCTTAAAGATACCCAATGTTGTACATGTGTTAATTTACAATTGTCGGTTTCTGAACCATTCATCTACATGCATTGAAAATCCCAGAGTAGAATCAAAAATCCCAAAAATCAAAGCCCTAAAAAGTCCACGGCCCCCCAACAGAAGTTCCTTAATGCCCGGTCAGGGGCTCTTGTTAAAGAATTGGACCTGTGCTTCCTTTTTTTTCATGGAACTTAAATTCTCCATTTTTTAGGATATAAGCAAAAGAAAAAATTAAAAGTGAATCGGGGAAAGAGTAAGGTTAGGGATAACAAAAATATTAGGTGATGAAAATTGGAATCAGATTTGGGGGGAGAAGGGAGGGAAAAGAATTTGGAAATGGGAAAATTTAGATATTTGGGAGTGGACGTGTCAGCGGTGGGTTATGAAAGATAGGTGAATTATGAATTGATGAGGGAAAAGAGTGAGTGGGTGCAATTAGGAGTCTGTGGAACAAAAAACTTTGTCCTTGGAGGGAAAGAGGGGAAAGTATGAGAGTATAGTTTTACCCCGCTCTTATTGGGTGTGAAGCATGGGTATGAATGTTGCGCGAGGGGAAGGCTGGGGCAGGGAATTTTATGTCTGAGGCATGTTGGTGTAATAAATGCAGAGAATTCGTATTTGGGAAATTAGGGGAGGGGGGGATTACCAAAACGTTGTCCAGAGGGGTGAGGAAGGGGGTTTTTAGGGGGGTTGGACATGTAGAGAAAGGAGCGAACAGAATGCTTCGAGTGTATCGTCTGTAGGGGAAGGGAAGGCGGGGTGGGGTCGGGCCTGGAAAAGGTTGGAGAGGGGGTAAAGGAGGGTTTTGTGTGCGAGGGGCTTGGACTTCCCGCAGGCAGCGTGAGGTGTTTTATAGGAGTGAATGGAGACAAAGGTTTTTATACTTACGTTTTGGAGTGTGAGAAAGAACAATTTTTGAAGGGGTTCAGGGGAAACCCGGCAGGGCCCGGGCTTGAGTCCTGGAAATGGGAAGTACAATGACTGCACTTTAAAGGAGGATTTTGGGGATATGGCAGTTTGGGGGGATATGTTGTGTATCTTATACGTATATGTTCTAAGCTGTTGTATCCTGAGCACCTCTGCAAAAACAGTGATTATGTGTGAGTGTGGTAAAAGTGTTAAATGATGATAAAAAGCATTTTTTTTGGGGATTTTTTTTCTTTTTTGGGTCACCCTTGCCTCGGTAGGAGACAGCCGACTTGTTGAAAAAAAAATATATATAGAGTATATAAATTATATATATTAAAAATATAATTATATATATATAAAAATATATATATAAAATATATATTATATATATATATAATATAAAATATATATATTTTAAATATATTCTTTCTTTCTTCTTTCAACAAACCGGCCATATCTCACCGAGGCAGGGTGGCCCAAAAAGAAAAACAAAAGTTTCTCTTTTTAAATTTAGTAATTTATACGGGAGAAGGGGTTACTAGCCCCTTGCTCCCAGCACTGTAGTCGCCTATACAACACGCATGGCTTACGGAGGAACAATTCTGTTCCACTTCCCCATGGGGATAAGAGGAAATAAACAAGAACAAGAACTAAAAAGAAAATAGAAGAAAACCCAGAGGGGTGTGTATATATATGCTTGTACATGTATGTGTACTGTGACCTAAGTGTAATAGAAGTAGCAAGATGTACCTGAAATCTTGCATGTTTATGAGACAGAAAAGACGCCAGCAATCCTACCATCGTGTAAAACAATAATAGGTTTCCGTTTCACACTTTCACCATCATTTACACATAATCACTGTCTTTGCAGAGGCACCCAAGTAGACAGTTTAGGGGTCACTCCAAACAGTTAATATCCAAAACCTCTGATTTAAAGTGCAGGAATTGTATGTCCCACCTCCAGGACTCAAGTCCAGCTAACTGGTTTCCCTGAATCCCTTCACAAAATATAACCCTGCGCACACTCAACAGCTCGTTAGGTCCCCAAAACCATTTGTCTCCATTCTCTCCTATCTAACACACTCACACATGCCTGCCTGCTGCATGTCCAAGCTTCTTGCACATAAAACCTCTTTTATCCCTTCCTGTGATGTAGGAGGGGGGGATGGTTCTACATATCGGGTCACAGGAGGGCTTGACTAACCACTGATAATTGCTCACATCTTTGCCTTTGCATGAAAGCATTAAAAACTGTAGGAGACACCTGGAGTCTCAGGCATTAATGTTCAAGAGGGCGACATTAACCCTTAAACTGTCCAAACGTAGATCTACGTTTTTTCAACATTTGAAATTATGTAAAAAAATGTAGACCTTTTTTTTTTTACATTTGAAAATGTGCAAAAAAAAACTTAGATCTACATTTTTTTGGTTATATTTGAAAATATGTAAAAAAACATAGATCTACTTTTGGAGCACTACGCATGTGAACATAGATCTGTTTGGACAGTTTAAGGGTTAAGGAATGGAACACGAATCCTTTGTGTGAAGCACACGTGATGCCCTATGGAGGGTGACCCATGAAACCTGGAGTTAAGGTGGAGCGCACAGAGTATCATATACACCCAAGGAAACAGCTAAGAGGGAGAAATCAGACAGAGCTCTTGCCTGTGTGCAAAGCTCTGGGCAAGGGAGCTGGAGTCTCTGTGGGAGATTTGAGGATTTGTTCTAGATGGAAGCAGAGAGCTCTGGAGAGGGCTGGAGAGACTCTGTTGGAGACTTTGGGCAGAGTACAGGCTGGTAGCCATGCTCATGCCATGTGATAAGTGTGCATACACAAACATGTACATGCATGTGTAGTGTGACCTAAATGTAAGTATAAGTAGCAAGATATACCTGTTATCTTGTGTGTTTTTGAGACATAAAAAAAGACACCAGCATTCCTACCATCAAGTAAAACAAATACAGGTTTCTGTTTTACACTTATTAGGTAGGACAGTATTACATCCCAGGGTAGCTGCTGTCTACCAACCTACTACATATAAAGACAGGGCCCAAGTGATGGATTTTAGTGTGTGCTAAACCTGTATTAGTCATACAGAACCTGGTAAATGAGACACAATCAGATTTGATCTGTAGGGAAAACTTATTCTAATTCTTATGATCAAGAACTCTCTACTAACATGAATGCACTTTCCTCAAAATTATGTTGGCCGAGTGTTAGAAACTAGCAAGGAATGTTACGCTGAAAAATTACACTTCTAATGTCATTCTAGAATTGTTGAGCATCATTTGAGCTAATAAAATACTGTAATTATATCTCATATGATGACTAAAATTAAATGCTGTACTGCACATGAACTTTAAACTTTGAAAAAACCAAGCCTTACCTGTCTATCAGTAGGTAGTTCAAATGGCTGGTCTGGAGAAGGCTTCTGATTAGGATAGCCTTCCAAGTTGAGTGGATTGATACCAACAAACTTCCCAGCATATTCTTTTCCATAGTGTACACCTTCTTGGTGTGAAGGCCACTTTGCATTTTCACTCATGCTCATCGGACATTCAGAAGGGAATGCCTATGTTTAAAAATAAAAAGATATAGACATTATATATATGATTATCACATGCAACACATTAGTAATGGTTAAAGGAAAAAATGTTACTGTATCTTAATGGACTACTTTACAGTAATCTTTGTAAATACAAACATTCTTGGGACTGATGCCATGCTATATCATGAAAAATTGACAAATACAGCAGCTTCTTCAAAAAAAATTACAATATCTCATACATCTTGTTTCATAAACATTGTTCTCAGTATACATCATATCTCTTAAATTAAAATATTATATGTATGGGCATTTATTTTCATAAATCAGCTATATTATAAAACAAGATCACATAAAACTTTCATACTGCACCTCTGATGGTTGTTCTTTGTTTGACTGATGCATAGGGCACTCTGAAGGTATAACTGCTTCAGGAGGGGCATACTGTGCATGTGAAGCAGGGGATATAATGCTAGTGACTGCATCACAACTTCCTTCTGGGACCTCAGAAACTTTGTTATGCATGGGACACTCTGCTGGAGGGGCACTTTGAGCGTATGAATGCGTAGGGCATCCTTCTGGAGAGGATTCTCGGCTTTGCTTATCAAAGGTGGGGTGATTTGGAGGCAGTTCTGAAGCACTTAATGTCATTTTACCACCACCATCAACTGCTAGGCTAGTAAGAGACGTTGCTGTACTGTGGGCGGCTGACACAGAATTTCCCATCCCTGTGTCCTGCAATTAATATTCTTTTTAAATTTTAGATGATGAGGGTTTTTTCTTATAAAATTAATATATAAATTGACAAGTCATCCAACATAGCCTATATAAAAAATTACCATGATATAACTAACATAAGTGAACTAATTAAAAGTCAATATCCACATTATTATTATTATTATTATTATAATAAAAAAGAAGCGCTAAGCCACAAGGGCTATACAGCGCTGCAGGGTAGGGAAGGAAGCGAGTGTATTGGATGGCAGAAGGGAGGAGGGATGATCAGTAGGTTACAGAAAACAGCGGGGCAGGGGATAGTACGGGGGTAGGGGGTAGCAAGAGACTGAAGTAGAAAGGCCTGAAGGTATCAGAATTTGTGAAGTAAGTCAGTTGTTGTCAAAAAGTCAATGAGAGAGTCTGGATGAAAAGTGGGTCCATCAGCGAGAAGGAAAGGTAAAAAAGAGAGCAGCAAAGCGAAGACGACGACGGAGGTAATTCTGCGTGCTCATTGATAAAGTGGGCAGTCCAACAGAATGTGGCTGACTGATAATGGAACTGGGCAATTCTCACAGAGAGGACAGGACGCCTCTCCATGAGATACCAGAGTAAGACGAGTATGGCCAATGCGAAGAGGGGAGAGAGTAGTCTCCCAACCTCGACACTGGTGATAAGAAGACGGCCAGAAAACCTATACTCGTTTTAATAGATTGAAGTTTGTTGCCGAGCATAGTAGACCAACGTTGTTGCCAACGGGTGTGAATTTGGGGAAGGGATATTCAGCAAAATAGCCCTAAATGGAATCCCTCTACATGAAACTGGTAGGTCATGTACTGCTGACCGCGCAGCAGTGTCTGCCTGTTCATTGCCCTGTACGTCAAATGACCAGGGACCCAAAAAAAAAACAATATTTTTAGCTTGGTAAAGATGCGGCGTAGCCAAAGTTGGATAGGGAGGACTAAGGGTGAGGGTATCAAATTTCTGTATAGCCTTTTAAAGCACTAAGGGAGCCCGAGACAACCACAAATGATGACACAGGATAGATGCAATACGGATAAGTGCTGTAAGGAGGGCATACAATTCAGCAGTAAAAATACTAGCCAAAGATAGTAAATGTCCTTGTACGACGCTGTCCGGAAAACACTGCTGCGAATCCTACGCCGTCAGAAGACTTAGAGCCATCTGTGTAACACAATGGCATAGAATGAGAGTGAAAGTGGTCAAGAAAATGAGGCGGGAAGCGACCGTAGACAGTTGGGCTTTCGAGCAAGGGAGAGAGAAAGAACAGACTCAAAACAGCTGGAACTTCCCAGGGGGGTAGGGAAAAGTGAGATGCTACATGTACATAGAAAGGTGGTAATTGAAGAGAAGACAAGAGTGAATGAAGGCGAAGAGAGAAGGGACGGAGTAAACAGGGGCGGCGAACAAATAAAGAAATGTCTACAAATATCAGTGACCATTCTATAAATGGAAGGATTGCGGAGATCATGAGAGCGTACATAGTAGCGAAGCAATGGGCATCACGGTGATCGGATAAGGATGGAACGTTCGCTTCTGCATAGGGGCCCTCTCGACAGGGGGAAGAGCGAAAAGCACCAAGGCATAAACGTAATCCTTGGTGATGAATGGGGTTAAGGCTAGAGAGAGTAGCAGGAGATGCGCTGAATAATCTGGTCACCATAATCAAGTTTCGATAAGATAAGGGTGGAATGTAGGCGAAGGAGGGTTCGACGATCAGCTCCCCATGAAAGATGAGCAAGGGTTTTAAGGGGGTTTCGCCGGCTGTGGCAAGTTCCCTTCAGAGAGGTAATGTGAGGTTTCCAGGATAACCTACGATCAAAGAGGAGGCCCAGAAACTTGACTGTATCACGTTCAGGGATACGGGAGCCATAGAGGTACAAAGGATGATCGGAGATGACAGAGCGTCTAGTGAAAGCAATTTGGGGGGTTTTAGTGCGGGAAAAATTTAAACCCACGTGTGGTGGCCCAATTGGAAACACGGGTCGACTGCATGCTGGAGAGAAACTGTAATAAGGTGACAGTCAGCGCCTGCACAGGCAATAGCAAAGTCATAAACATAGAGTGATGACCAAATATTTGATGGAAGACTAGAGGCCAATCATTAATAGAAAGGAGAAAAAGTGTTGTGCTCAGAAACACACCCCTGGGGGACACCTTCAGCTTGGATAAAGCCCGGGGGAGAGCACATTATTAACCGAACACGGAAATGCCTGTCAGTTAAAAAGTTCTTAAGGAAGGATGGTAAAATTGCCTCGAAGGCCTAAGGAGTGGGACTTGGGCTAAAATTTTATCCCTCCAAGTTGTGTCATATGCCTTCTAAAGGTCAAAAAATATGGCAATAACTGAGTGGTTGTTCGCAAAGGCGTTACGAACATACGTATCCAAGCGTAGTAAGGGGTCTATGGTAGAACGTCCCTTACAAAAGCCATATTGACGAGTGGAGAGACTGTTGTGTGTCTCTAAATACCACACTAAACATCTATTTACTAGGCGTTCCATCACTTTGCAAACTGCACTGGTAAGACCCAATGGGACGATAGTGAGAGGTTTCATGTCCCGTAGTCCCTGGTTTGCGGAAAGGGAGAACAATGGCGGATTTCCACAGCTGTGGAAGAACTCCTTGTGACCAAATAAGATTGTAAAGGGGCGAAATTTGGGACTGCAAGGGCTGACTGATGTAATGTTGTAGCATACGAATATGAATGTCGTCGGGCCCCCAGCTGCCAATGATCGGCAAGCTGAGAGTGTTGCCTCCAGTTCTTAAAGTGTAAAAGGCACATTATACTGTTCTTCCTGGGGGAAGAAAAGTCCAAGGGTGCTAACTCTCTGGCAGACTTGGAGGAAAGAAATGAAGGGCATAGATGGAGTCCCTGAGAATACGGACCAGATGATTGCCAATTTCATTGGCAACATCTAGTGGGTTTTGCTATATCAACACCGGCAACCCCAGAACAGGAGCCGGGTCAGGAGAATATTACCACTCAGTTTTTTGTACTTTTTTCCAGACTGCACTCATAGAGGAACAGAGGTGATGGTGGAGACATAATCTCGCCAGCAAGTGCGTTTAGCGTCCGGATGACACAGCGAGCGATCGCATGCTTCTGCTTAAATTAAAGAAGTCTCTCTGTGGTTCTATTGTACCGGTACCTGCCCTATGCAGCGCGTTTCAAACGTACTGCACGAGCACAAGCAGGAGACCACCAAGGCACGCATTTCCGAGAATCCCTGCCCGAATTTTTGGGTATAGAATGAGAAGCTGCGGTTTAAAACGGAGACGAGAAGAGGGAAAAAGCTCTCGATGGAGGACAAAGAAGGAACCTCTCTAAAAACAGTTAGGTGTGAGTAAAGGTTCCAATTTGCCTGATCAAATTGCCACGTGGGATGCGAAGAGGTGGTGAATATGAAGGGGAAAAAGAATGATTGGAAATGATCGCTGTCATGTAAGTCCGGAAGAACAGACCAAGTGAAGTCTAATGCGGCGGAGGAAGAGCAGACTGAGAGATCGATGCAAGAGAGAGTGTGAGCCCGAGGATCAAAATGGTGTGAGTACCTGTTTTAAAACATGGAGGGGGTGGGTGGCAAGAAAAGCCTCTAACTGAATGCCACGGGAATCACAGTGAGACCCCCCAGAGGAAATGGTGGGCATTAAAATCCCCAAAGCAACAGAATCGGTGGTGGTAAGACGAAACAAGAAAGGCAATAATCCGGAATAGATAATGCCCGAGAAGGAGAGAGATAAAAAGAACAGAGCGTATACCACCTATGCAAGTGGATACGGGCTGCGTGTAATGCAGTGAAGTACGAACAAATAGCTGATGGTACGGAATATCAGTGCGTAGAAGAAGGGCACTTTCATTAAAGGTCCCATCAGGAAAAGGATCTGAAGAATACAATAAATTATAGCCTGAGATGGGAGAGATAACAGCAGAGTGTTTTTTTGGTTCCTGTAAGCAAACACCAACAGGGGAAAACTGGGAGAGTAACATCTGAAGCTCACCCCGATTACCCTGAGGTCGCGTATATTCCACTGTAAATAGGCCATGTTTGGCAATGAAAAAGATACCTGAAATTCCGCAGGTAAGGGTTCTACGGACTAGGGGGGTTAGAAAATTCCCACATGCGGAGGCAGTGGAAAACGTTCAAGCAGCGAAGGAACGGTGCGCTGTGAAGAAAGGAGTTGCGCAGATGGAGTAGAGGAGAGAGAAGGAGCGGAGGGTGGATCAGTGTCCATTGATGGTTTGGTCTCTGCAATATATTCAGAGATTGCTTCAAGTGTTTCAGAATTCAGAGACGTCGTATGGGAGACAATTTTGGAAATAGTGGGGGAGGGATGAGTAAAGATTGGAACACTGTAATGGACTGTACCAAGGTAGGGGGGGACGGAAGGGTGGAGGGAACTGGAGAAGCGTGGAAGGGGACAGAGAGGCAGAAACCTGGGAGGTGGCAGAAGAGGAAGAAACTTGGGAGGGAACAGGGAGGAAGGTACAGTACGAGGAGGGGGGTAAAACCTCTACACTTGTAACAGAGCCAGTGAGAGGGGGAGAACAAGGTACAGAGACAGGGAAGGGAAAATGGGAGGTGGAAGAGGGTAGGAGGTGTTAACGGACCTTTTTTTGACTTTTGAGAAGTAGAGGGACGATTGGGAGGAGGTGTCATACGAGATCTCGTCGCTACTGAGGCTTGTGAGAGAGAACACGAAGAAGCAAGATCAGACTGAGACGTTGAAGTAGGGAGTCTGAGCCGAGGACAGCAAAAGGATTAGCTACAGGAGTGACTATGGGAGGGGTAACCACAGAGGTGGGTGCAGAAGATGGGATACCAGAAGTGGGGGGACGTTTTGAAACACGGGAATAAGAAACACGAGGTATCTCCCTTGGAGGCGGAGGATGAGAAACTGCCATGGCATAAGGGAGACCTTCTGCCTCTTTGAGGTAACGGATTTTCCCGCTCGTTTAAGTAGACTTGACAACAGCGAGAGTACGAAGGGTGAGCCTCAT